TACATGGGATCAACTTTGTCATCCTCCTTTGTACATTTTCCAGAGAATTTATATCCATTCTGTAATACGGTGACCAAAACTGTGCAGCATAATCTAAATGAGGCCTAACCAAGGATGTATAGAGTTGAAGAACAACCTGAGGACTCCTATTATTTATGCTTCTTGATATGAAGCCAAGGATTCTATTAGCTTTATTGCGAACACTTATGCACTGTTGTCTTGGTTTCAGATTACTGCTAACCAGAACTCCTAAATCTTTTTCGCAATCCGTAATATTAAGATCTACATTATTTAGTTTATATGTGGCATGGTTATTGTCCTGTCCAACATTTAGAACTTTGCATTTGTCTATATTAAACTGCATCTGCCACTTCTCCTACCATTGCATCAGTCTATTCAAATGGTTTTGAAAACTATCGAATTTCTACTAAACCACAAACCTCAGATCGCTTGTTCTATCTAGGCTGGAATATTGCTGCACACTAACAGCACCTTTCAAGGCAGGTGAAATTGCAGACCTAGAAAATGTACAGAGAACCTTCACGGCGCGCATAACGGAGATAAAACACCTCAATTACTGGGAGCGTTTAAAGTTCCTGAACCTGTACTCCCTGGAACGCAGGCGGGAGAGATACATGATTATATACACCTGGAAAATCCTAGAGGGACTAGTACCAAACTTGCACACGAAAATCACTCTCTCCAAAAGCAAGAGACGGCAGACGATGCACCATCCCCCCAGTGAAAAGCAGGGGTGTCACTAGCACGTTAAGAGACAACACAATAAGTGTCAGGAGCCCGAGACTGTTCAACTGCCTCCCAGCATACATAAGGGGGATTACCAATATACCCCTGGCAGTCTTCAAGCAGGCACTGGACAGGCACCTAAAGTCGGTACCTGACCAGCCGGGCTGTGGCTCGTACGTTGGATTGCGTGCAGCCAGCAGTAACAGCCTGGTTGATCAGGCCCTGTTCCACCATGAGGCCTGGACACAGACCGGGCCGCGGGGGCGTTGACCCCCGGAACTCTTTCCAGGTAAACTCCAGTTTAATAACAGCTAATCAGCGTCAAACTACGTAAGTACAATTATCATACATAGTGTAAATTACGTAGCATAATTGAAAAAAAAGGTCGGTTATGTAAACACGATAGATGCAAATGAAAATGGATTACACCAGTTGGTTCCACACTGTCGAGGTCCCTCTGTACAGCTGTTGTCCTGAGCTTGGCGGACCCGCAGATTCCAGAGCAGATTACAGGGCTATTTGGTGTGAACAAATCTCAGGTAACCTGTGCCAGTCTAGCAAGTATACGAAGTGTAAAATCTAGGGAAGTGTTCCATTGATACATGTGCCGAGCTCCGGAAACAGAGGCCAGGTATTATGAGGTACGCATTATTCTTCAAGTCTTCTAGGTGGAAGGGAGGTGATCTCATTAGACAAGAACGAAAAAGAAATGGTATATTTCGACCACAGGTTGAAAACTTCATCGAAATCCAAAGGAGAGCACTATATATGTTGAAATTTGCACTCCTATTTTCGTAAATACACAGATATGAAGCTCTCAGTGCAAATATGTACTGAGGTACACACTTATCGATATATGTACATAAATATACACGCCTATCCGTGTATATATATTGATATATACATTCTTATGGGCATATTTACACAAATACACACCTCGATGTATATACACATGCACACTCAGTGTATATAAGCAGGCAAGCATCACTCATTGTATACGCGCAGATACACACCTCTCGTTGCACATTCCTTGATTCATTAACCAATTGTTGCACAATTTATGTCCACGAACTTGCGAGAGGTTGAAGATAAAGCGAGGAAAGTTGAGCAGCGTGTGGCCCGGATAAACCAGGTCCTTGAAACATGGCGGTGTTACGACCCCCTAAGCCTGTCTGCCTACCTCATGAGTGCTCCAATGTCTGTCTGCCTATCTCATGAGAGCTCCAATGGTACTTCATTATGTCTGTCTACCTCATGAGAGCTCCAATGGTACTTCATTATGTCTGTCTACCTCATGAGAGCTCCAATGGTGCTTTATTATGTCTGCCTACCTCATGAGAGCTCCAATGGTACTTCATTATGTCTGCCTACCTCAAAGAGAGCTCCAATGGTACTTCATTATGTCTGTCTACCTCATGAGAGCTCCAATGGTGCTTTATTATGTCTGCCTACCTCATGAGAGCTCCAATGGTACTTCATTATGTCTGCCTACCTCATGAGAGCTCCAATGGTACTTCATTATGTCTGTCTACCTCATGAGAGCTCCAATGGTGCTTTATTACGTCTGTCTGTCTACCTCATTACAGCTCCAGTGGTACTTCATAATGCCTGTCTGCCTACCTCATGAGAGCTCCAATGGTGCTTCATTATGTCTGTCTGCCTACCTCATGAGAACTCCAATGGTACTTCATTGTGCCTATTTCCCTACCTTTAAGGCACGTGTGTGTATACTCACCTATGTACCTTCCTATATGCGGTTGCAGGGATCGACTCTTAGCTCTTGGCCTCGCCTGTCAGCTTTCCGCCTCTCAGAGTCACTCCTAGCCTCATGGGCTCTATTGTACCTAGTCTTAAAACTATGTATGGAGTCAGCCTCCACCAGTTCATCTAGGTTATTCCCAACCGCTCTGAGACTGAATAAATAATTCCTGACATCCCTGTGATTCATCTGTGTCCGTAGACTCCAGCTATGCCCTCTAATACCTGTTTCCCGCCTCTCAAACTGCCTGTCGCTGTTTGCGTTATCAATTTCCAGTAATTAAGTTATGTTACTGACCTTATATGTGCAGTGAAGGTTCTCTATACATTCTCTAGAACTGCAATTTCACCTGCCTTAAAGGTGGCAGGATCATTGCTGGCTTGGCATCCAGTGTTTTGAAGGTTCTCATTATCCCTCCTAGACACTTCAAAGTGAGATCCACCTACATTATCATTCCCAGGTCTTTCACATTAGTTTTTCTCTACTGAGTGGTTATAATTATTTTATACTCCGCTCTACCTTTCATTTCGTTTGATTTTTCCATGTATCATGCATCGTGCGGCAAGCATTAGTAGCCTGGTTGATCAGGCCCTGATCCACCGGGAGGCCTGGTCATGGACCGGGCCGTGGGGGCGTTGACCCCCTCGGAGTACCCTCCAGGTATACCCCAGGTATGGGATATACCTGGAGGGTATACCTGATACAAAAAACATGCATCATATTTTATGTATCATGGTGTATGTATCATGGTGTATGTATCATGGTGTATGTATCATGGTGTATGTATCATGGTGTATGTATCATGGTGTATGTATCATGGTGTATGTATCATAGTGTATGGGTGAACTTGAGCCATCAGTAGTGCCAGCAGGCAACACACACAACCACCTGCATCAAAGAGGCGACCCCATAATTTTGGGTGATGTGTAGGCCTATAAGAGGCAAGTAAGTAAGTAAATTTTATTCAGGTATACACAATACAGTTACATAGAATTATCATACATAGCAGCATATGTGTAGAGAACCTGGGATAACCCCAAAAAAGTCAGACAGAGTGACTTATTTCCATTGGGCCGTGAAAAAGGCACCTCATTGATGTCAGAGTTTCATAGTTAAAATATATATTCTTTATACCATCCTCTGACTTTCACAATTATATTAATAATAATAATCATAATAATAATAATATAATAAAATAATAATAATAATAATAATAATATAATAATAAATAATAATAATAAAATAATAATAATAATAATAATAATAATAATAATAATAATAAATTTATATTTATGTCTGTTGGAATAATTTTTGGAGAGCTTACACTTTTGTACTGTAGTTTATTTAAATGGTAATTATTTACTATGCAAATTAGTGCTATATACATTTATCTGATGCAGTGGTCGGAGAAGTGGCAGATGCAGTTTAATATAGACAAATGCAAAGTTCTAAATGTTGGACAGGACAATAACCATGCCACATATAAACTAAATAATGTAGATCTTAATATTACGGATTGCGAAAAAGATTTAGGAGTTCTGGTTAGCAGTAATCTGAAACCAAGACAACAGTGCATAAGTGTTCGCAATAAAGCTAATAGAATCCTTGGCTTCATATCAAGAAGCATAAATAATAGGAGTCCTCAGGTTGTTCTTCAACTCTATACATCCTTGGTTAGGCCTCATTTAGATTATGCTGCACAGTTTTGGTCACCGTATTACAGAATGGATATAAATTCTCTGGAAAATGTACAAAGGAGGATGACAAGTTGATCCCATGTATCAGAAACCTTCCCATATGAGGATAGACTAAGGGCCCTGAATCTGCACTCTCTAGAAAGACGTAGATTAGGGGGGATATGATTGAGGTGTATAAATGGAAGACAGGAATAAATAAAGGGGATGTAAATAGTGTGCTGAAAATATCTAGCCTAGACAGGACTCGCAGCAATGGTTTTAAGTTGGAAAAATTCAGATTCAGGAAGGATATAGGAAAGTACTGGTTTGGTAATAGAGTTGTGGATGAGTGGAACAAACTCCCAAGTACCGTTATAGAGGCCAGAACGTTGTGTAGCTTTAAAAATAGGTTGGATAAATACATGAGTGGATGTGGGTGGGTGTGAGTTAGACCTGATAGCTTGTGCTACCAGGTCGGTTGCCGTGTTCCTCCCTTAAGTCAATGTGACCTGACCTGACTAGGTTGAGTGCATTTTCTTAAGCCGGTAGGAGACTTGGACCTGCCTCGCATGGGCCAGTAGGCCTTCCGCAGTGTTCCTTCGTTCTTATGTTCTTATGTTCTTATTTTTAAGCATATATGTGTTGGCAGAAATGCAATTCTTCCTCTCAACCTTCACATTTCCATGTTTTATGCAGTAATTTTGAAATAAACATTTGTAGATATATCAAAATAGCTGTATTTTTATTTAAAAATTCGTAGTTATATATAAATACTAGTATTTATATTAGAATATTTGTATAAAATAGATGTTGTTGGTGGTGAGTGTTGGCAACACTGGCAGCAGCAGACGACGTCAACATTTCCTCCCAAAAAATTTGGTTAAATTGTAATTTTTCTGTGAACCAGCGATGTTTTTGACCTGATGTTGAAGACCAACGTCTCCAGGATCATTGTTGGATGGTGAGGGAAGGACAGTAACGTTATTATTAGTGTTATAACTGTAGATGAGAGGCTTTAATACACCAACACATTTTTTTAATCACGTGTCACCGGAAAGAATTTTCAAAAGAGTCGAATATATTGTTTTTTTCCCTCTGGTTTCCCCCCATGTGGGTTTAGCGCCCTTATTAGATTATAATGATAGTCAGGAGATATATAATTTCAAAGTGAATAATTGTGTGTGTAATATATAATATATATATATATTTATATATATATATATATATATATTATATATATATATATATATATATATATTATATATTGATTTTTATCCCTGTTTTTAACCCCTGAAGCCGGTGATGGGCTCTTGATCCAAGGAATTGGATCTGGTCTCCCTTTCCTGGGATCGAACATGATTGCCTTCCATCCTCCAAGGCACTGCGTGGCCCCACCGTACTGGTTTAGTGCTCCCCTTTTCCCAGTGAATAATATTTTTTGGATTAATGATCCACGTGAAGGGCTCTTGATCAAGGGTATTGGAGCTGTCCTTGTATCTAATTTCCCACACCCCAGACACTGTGTATTTCCATGTATACAATTTTACATTCATGGGAAAGTGCTAAACCCTACAGGTTTAGCGCTTTCCATGAACATAATAATGTGCAGCAGAGCCTAATAGTCTAATAATATACATATAAATACTACATGTATGTATGTATGTATGTATGTATGTATGTATGTATGTATGTATGTATGTATGTATATATGTATATATGTATATATGTATATATGTATATATGTATATATGTATATATATATATATATATATATAAATAATATTTATTCGAGGACCCCAATGGAAATAAGTCGCTAACTTTTTTGGGTTATCCTGGTGGGTAATTTACATGTATATTACTATGTGTGATAATTTGTGTAACTGTATTTGTGTAGCTGTACTTAAATAATTATAATTATTGTAATTATACATAATGTACATAGCCACTATAGTCGTACGAGTGGCATTATATGATAACCTAGGTTCTGGGGCCTCCTTCACGTGCATCAGAAGGATTTTACATATTTCTAAAATACATTTTTGTTTCTGTTGATGGGAGGGAATATATGATTCCTTTACATATTTTTGGCTCATCAGTTTAGAAATATGAAAATCAGTGACCCTGATAGAAATAAGTCACTGACTTTTTTAGGTTATAAGCAAGTTTATTCAGGTATAGGTACGTATAAATACAGTTCAACAGATTATTATACATAGTAATGTGTGTAAATTACTTAGGGTAATCAAAAAAACTCAGTGACATATTCCCCAGGTAATTTACACCAATGATATTTTGTTCGGATTTTTAACCCTGGAGGGTTAGCCAGCCAGAATATCCCAAGAAAGTTAGTGTGTTATCTGTCTTATTTCCACTGGGATCCTCAGTCTTGTCCCCCAGGATGCCACTCACACAAGGAAACTAACACCCAGGTACCAACTTACTTGCTAGGTGAATGGGACAACATGTGTAAGGAAACGCCCAATGTTTCCACCCTTTCCGGGGATTGAACCTCGGACACTCGGTGTGTGAGACTAGAGCGTTGCTTACCAGGCCACGGGACAATTTATTTGGTTGGAATTTAACATAACTGTTCATATTTCTTATTTGTCATGTACAATGCTTCACTTAATCTATTTTCGTATATATTCGTTATATTCGTTAGAATTACTTCTATTCTTTTTTATATCTTCAAAGTCTTTATATACTAATGTACAAAATAGTACCTATAAACTTGCTAGACTATAACCCAACTAATTTTTTTCTTATGATCAGTTAAAATAATATGCCCTTGTAGTCTTTAGTTAGGCTATAGCTTGCCTAATATGCTCTACATATTTATGGACTTTCAACATGCACTCAGCTGTCACCCATTTCTATATAAACAATGTATCATATTCAAATAAACTCATATATGTAAAAATATATACAGTGGACCCCCGGCTTACGATATTATTTCATTCCAGAAGTATGTTCAGGTGCCATTACTGAACGAATTTATTCCCATAAGGAATATTGTGAATTAGATTAGTCCATTTCAGACCCCCAAACATACAAGTGCAAACGCACTTACATAAATACACTTACTTAATTGGTCGCATTGGGAGCTGATCGTAAACCGGGGGTCCACTGTATTATGTTCTGTTGATCAAAATGCCAACTCATGGATGCCAAGGACCACAGTGGAAATAAGACACTGACTTTTTTGGGGTTATCCTATGTTATTAATTCATGATAATTTGTGTAATTGCATTTGTGTACCTGTACCTAAATAAACTCGCTTGCTTGCTTATTAAGGTTGCTGTCCAGAACCAAGATAGACTGATAAAAAGATCAAAGCTTGATTCACAACCACACGATTCAGTATGGGATGCATATGCACGGAGAACTGGTGGTATAGAGGGTTGTTTATATTGAGACTAGGCCTTCCCATAAAAAACAATAGTTATGCCTGCAGGTAGGCCATAAGGGAGAGGGGAAAATCCCACATCATGCCATATTTTTTTTTTTTTTTTGTAAATTTATTCCATGCTAATTGAAGTTATGGGGTGCTCATCAAAACTATTGCAAATTTCCAGCCATGTTACATGTATCAAAAAAACATTAAAAGATTGTGTTAGACAAGGGGTTTACAGTATACTACAATTATAAACTACATGATTTGCCTAAATAAAGAACTGATTAAAACTACAGATCCTCCCCGACTTCCAACCTTTGTGACTTCTGTCCATCCACACACATGACCGAAAAAAATAGACTACAAATTAGAAAAATAAAAAATATATGTACGTATGTAATTATGGAAATTACCCTTGGTCATAAGTAAGTGGAAGACATATAGCCAAACCTAGGCTACATTCCGTACAGCATTTTTGATTGTGAAGCCTATGAGTGTTACCTACAAGTAAGGAAGGTCAATTTGTGAGTAATTAAACTTAACCCTTAAACGGTCCAAAGAGATCGACGTTCAAATTCGTAGTGCTACAAAAGTAGATCTACTTTTTTTTTTACATATTTTCAAATATAACAAAAAAAATGTAGATAAAAGTTTTTTACATACTTTCAGATGTTGAAAAAATGTATATATACGTTTGGACCATTTAAGGGTTATGGTGATAAAGCAGCTTCATGAACGAGATAATCATGACAGAAATTTATTAGGTTAAAAGAATCTTGTACAAGTACAGTGGACCCCCGACTTATTATATTAATCCGTTCCTGAGAGCACATCGTAAGACAAAATTATCGTAAGTCGAATTAATTTTCCCCATAAGAAATATTTGAAATAAATTAATCCGTTCAAGACACCCAAAAGTATGAAAAAAAAAAAATTTACCACATGAAATATACATTTTCCTACACACAAAAAGGATACAGGCACAATATATATTGTGCATGTACTAGTGTACTAAATGAAGAATAAATGACACCTTGTTTTGAAGATGTAGTGTTTGAGTGATGAGACCGTCCTGGGAGCGTCTTTTCCTCCTGAGTAATGTAGGTCCTGTTTGGCATTTTCTTCCAGAACAGGCCTTATCACATTGTGTATGTCACTACGATATCTTAAATCTCTCAAACCAACCTATGCTAGCCTTAAATTTGCCAATATGAGCACTAGTTCCAGGCATTTTTTCCTGTTCACCTGGGTGTTAGTCAACTGGTGTGGGTCGCATCCTGGGGGACAAGATTAAGGACCCCAATGGAAATAAGATAGTCCTTGATGACACACTGACTTTCTTGGGTTATCCTGGGTGGATAACCAATGGTAAATAATGTCACACTAGCTCAGCTGAGACACTCAGGCCAGACAGATGTGGACACGTACAGGACAAATGATGTAAGTAGAGTTTTTCAACATATGTCGGGGTCAAATTTTTACGCTGACAAGCATCGTAAGTTGGTTTTAACATAGGTTGAGGACATTGTAAGTCGAGGGTCCACTGTACATATAAGACTTCTACATGCCATGCTAACATAATTCCCACTTCTGTCCATTTTGAGATTCGACCAGTCCGGAACGGAACTCAGATGTACGTCGTGGAGGATCTGTACTTCCCAAATGTAGATTAGAAAGCCAGCTAGCCCAGTGGCTAACGTAACAGTCTGGATTTTGACACTCTGATCGCGGGTTCTAACCCCACCCGTGGTATGATTAGAATGCTGTATATCAGGGCATTCTGAGGAAATGTGAGAAGTACATTACTGCACCCTAAAGGAGGGGTTTGGGATATTTGCTTTTTGGAGGGATATCTGAACTGTCATATCTGTGCACCTCTGGCAAGACAGTGATAGTGTGAACGATGGTGACAGTGTTTCTTTTTTGGGTCACCCTGCCTCATGGGAGATGGCCAGTGTGTTAAAAAAATAATCACCCATGGGTACCATTTATCACCTGGGAAATAAGAGGCAGTCAGGTCTTATCTGAGGAAGGAGAGGGTATCTCCAATTCCTTGGATGAAAAGCTCTTTACAGGCATCAAGGCATCTACTGAAGGATGATTTGGTGTATGATACATGCAGAGAGTCGGCATACAATTTGTGCGTTTAAAAATAGGTTAGATAAATACTACAGTGGAACCTCTGCTTGCGAGTTTAATCCGTTCCATGACCTTGCTCACAACTGGATTTCCTTGTTTGCAGTCAATTTTCCTCATTTAAATTAACTGAAATGCAATTAATCTGTTCAGTGGAATTCTGTACTTCAATAATTTCGCTAATATCAACTCTATGGTTATTTATCTATCTCACTTCATCTAATATGACATAATAAACAACATAAATAACATAGAAACCTGATGTATACTCTAAAATGAATAAAATGTCATTCATGTAGTGGTATGGGCAGTGTCAGCGTTGGACAAGAATTTGCCTGGAGACCAGGCAAAATACTTCCTGAATAATTTCATTAATATCATCTATACAGTTTATCACAGTTCATCTAATATGACATGACAAACAATATAAACAGAAACATGATATATACTCTAGAATGAATAAAATATGTCATTATGTAAGAGTGGAGGCGGCCACAACCGCTCCCACTTTGTTGTGGTAAACACTGCCATCTAATGACGGCCTTTTGAAGCCACCTATTATTATAATTATTATATGTAGTACATTATTATTATATATGTGTTATTATTATGTGTGTTATTATTATATGTATTATTATTATACATATTATTATTATATAAATAATTTGTAATTTTTATTCACACAAAAAATATAAGATTTACTGTTATTCCTTATTGCAATAATAGTATAAATAATGTCAACCCATTCACGACTGCATATTGGAATGGACAGTGACGTCATTTGTTTACTCTGAAACATAGCCAAGCACTTGACCATTTCTTCTACGCTGAGCTCAGTTTCGTTGTGAAAGCAATCAAAATCATATCTATTTCTGTAATTTATCTTCCATTCTATCAAATGAGACCAAAAAAACGAGAATACAACCATAAAAACCATTCGAAATTACCACTAAGGGGTGGCTAATTGCTGAGAAATGAACTCCATTACTTATGCTTAGATTTCTTTCATTTTTGGTGTACGTTAAGAAGCATCTTTCCATCATACATTGCCCAAGTTTCAATAAGATAGTCCCACAAACAAATGAGGTACAATTCCCAAAATCAAGAGCAAGAGCCCCTCACCAGTGTCAAGGAACCTGCCTTGAGGTCTGCTCGCTTATGGAAATTTTGTTCACGTATGGAGGCAAAAAATCAACCTATCGACTGCTCATATTTGGAAAAACTCGCACGTGAACACGCTCACAAGTAGAGGTTCCACTGTACGTGGGTGGGTGAGAACTTGACCTGTAATAAAGTTAGTGGAATTACCGACAATATGTAAAGTAAAAGGACACAAGTGCAACTAATGTGACATTTTATTGTGGCAACGTTTCGCTCTCCAGGAGCTTTATCAAGCTCCTGGAGAGCGAAACGTTGCCACAATAAAATGTCACATTAGTTGCACTTGTGTCCTTTTACTTTACAGAACTTGACCTGACTAGCTTGTGCTACTAGGTCAGATGCCGTGCTCCTTCCTTAAGTGAATGTGACCTGACCTGACTAGGTTAAGGCATTGGCTTAAGCCGGTAGGAGAATTGGACCTGCCTCACATGGGCCAGTAGGCCTGCTGCAGTGTTCCTTCTTTCTTATGTTCTTATGTTTTTCAGTCAAGCCTAACTCTTACAGTAGGGAAAGAAATAATCTGTTTTCGCCTCCATTGAACATCTACAGTGTACAGGTGCTTCTTGACTTGCGATGGGGTTATGTTCCGATGAACCCATCATAAGTCGAATATGAATATATGCTAAATAAATAAATAACTACTATCACCAAATAAGTAAACAAATAATTACTGTAAATAGTCGTACCTCACTCTGTCATTTCAGCCTGCGTCAGCTTCGCCTGTATGCCACTTTTCTGGAATAAATCTCAGTTCAGAAAACGTCATTACGTCTAACTTTGTCACTCGGCAACGTCACCTACATCAAAAAATTTTTTAATTGTGTTCATTATTCTTTAAAAAAGATGACTAAAATGTTTTTAGTGTTATTTAAGGTTTAGAAATAGTTATACATGCATTCTTTCGTTAGTTATTTACGCTAGTTGTACGGTGTTTGTCATCATTTTAAGGCATGTCCGGTATGTCAAAAACCAGGTTACGTCACGGCTCTTGGAACTAATTAATAATGTAGGGCGTGGTGTGACTGTACCAGTATTGAAAAATAAAAAAAGTTTTCAAGTTATGTACGTACTTGCTGCCTTCATGCTGGGTCATTATCTTGAGTTTCATCTCCAAAGTAATTGCTGTTGCACCATCATAAAGTCAAAATATAAGTCAAGGAACGCCTGTATAGATTACCACAATTCCGTCAATGTATTGAATATTGTGTTATCGTAAAACTTATAGAACTGTACATTAAGGAGTATATTACGTATGGGTTATGTACCTTTAATATATCTCTAATTTCAGGTCCTTTGTGATAGCACTAGGTGTTGGAGGATTTGTTTGGACAAAAAAGCAAATTGACTATAACAGGCGAGAGGCAATGAAAGTTCGACAGCGTATGAGGGATGCTAATACTGGAGAATACGAATTGAAAAGAAAATTTACTGGGTGAAATGGCAGTTTAATTTCACAACATTACATTCAAACTTGCAAGAAATTATATTTGTTTTTAATATCCCCTAGTGTTTTCTTCTGATTGAATAAGTGAAACAGCAAGCCACAACTATGGCTGGATTACCTGCCCTTAATGAGGACCAGATGAAACTTGTTCAAGATCTGGAAATTGAAATGATGTCCGACATGTACACAAGAATGACGACTTCCTGCCACAAAAAATGCATTCCAACAAAGTATAAAGACTCGGACATTGGTAAAGGAGAGGCTGTGTGTATTGACAGGTAAGAGCTGGTGTGAGTGCTTACTCGTATAGTTTTATATAATATAGTACAGCCTCTCCTCACTTAGCGACGTATTCATATACCAAAACCTTGGACTTACGATGGGCTCTCTGACCAGTATTTATACGTAAATAATGTGTATTAGAGCTGATTTATTCTGTTTATTTCAATGTACAGTATACTACTGTATAAACATTTAAAAATATGCCAAAATGTTATAAATGGTGCAAAGGTGACATTAAAACAATATCAAAGATGGTTGACACAAACCCACTACCATTATAGTATGCTCCTCACGTAGCAACGAATTTGTTTAACGACATGGTCTTAGGAATGGAACTCCGTTGTTAAGTGAGGAGAGGTTGTATAGGTATATTAAACCATTAATTTTATGAACTAATGGGGTAGAGGGAGCAGGTTGTTGATAATTTGTGGTTAAGAGAGATGAGGTTTTTACCATGATATTAACAATAATAAATGGGTCTAAAACAAATAGACTTTGTGAATTAAGTCGCCCAGCAGATTTGGTCCCAGATTTCCGAAGTCTGCTAAGTTGAGGTCTTAAATCGAGGGTTTACTTCTCTAATTGTCTTTAATATTAATATCAACATGGCAAAAGGTCATTTTAATGCGGTTTATTGTGTTCCACAATGTCCCTCTGCTGATTTTATAAAGAAATTCAAATACTGTCCCTATAGATGTACACCATACTACTGTACCAGTTCACCACAAATATCTTATCCATAGCGTCCATTTCACCATACAAAAATAGTTCGTGTAAATTTTTAAGCACACCATCTACTAAGGTATGGTAACAAAAAAAAAAAAAAGATAATATTCATCATTCAGTTGTCTCGCAGAAATGTTAACATCACAGTTGAATCGCCTTCCAAGCTGCAACGTCCTCGCCCCTTCTTCAGAGCACAGGCAGTGTAACAGTTTTATGTGCACAATACAACCTCTCCTCACTGAACGAAGGATTTCCGTTCCTAAGACCACATCAGTAAACGAATTCGTTGTTAAGTGAGGAACATGCTATAATGGTAGTGGGTTTGTATCAACCATCTTTGATATTGTTTTAATGTCACCTTTGCACCATTTATAGAATTTCTGTTATATTTTTAAATGTTTATACAGTAGTGTACTGTATATTATAATAAACAGAATAGAGGAAATCAGCTCTAAGTGAGGAGAGGCTGTACTATTATAAATCCTCTTCTGTCATGTACAGCAAAGCCTCTATTTAACAGACCCCATTTAAATGGAGGAAATCTGTGGCTGGACCACATTCAGAAACCTCAAAGTCTGTTAAATCTCGAATTGTCGACTATTATTACAGTCCATTGGATAAATTGATTGTGTATTTAACAAAACTTAAATCCAGAATTGCTTATTGTTAGGAGGAATTAATGTGTAGTTTACACAAATAACCCGCACATAAAAGAGAGAAGCTTACGACGACGTTTTGGTTCGACTTGGACCATTGACAAAGTCACACTAACAGAGGTGGAGCAGGACGGCTATATATAGGAAGGAAGAGGTGGTAGTAGTAGTAGTAGTACAACAAGAATTGTATATAATACCGACAGGATGAAATTAAGACACATGCACAACCGCCCGGCATCCCCATCGTAGACGTTTCGCCATCCAGCCAGCCACTGGATGGCGAAACGTCCACAACAAAGACAACCAGACGCCGCACATTGGGCTTAATTTCAACAGTAGTTGTAGTAGAGAAGAAGAGGTAGTAGTAGTGGTAGCGGAAGAAGTGGGAAATAAGGAAGACGAGCCAGTCAAATACAAAGGAAGGGGAGCACTGCAAGAGAGCTAGATACCCACAGAGGGAGAGCAAGCGCACAGAGGTGCGTGAAAGGGGAAGTGGTGAAATAAAATAAATGAAGAAGGAACAAACATGAGACAGGAGAGAGAAAGACAACCCAGAGGAGAAAAGGAGAGAGGAAAGGGGAAGAGGAAGAAGAAAAAGAAAAAGAAAAAGTGAGGATTCAGGTTAAGTCACGGGTGTTCTGAAGTTTGGAGCATTTTACAATGTAGTGGGAGAGGAAGTCATCTACAGAGACGAAGCCAGGGCTAAGGTTCATACAAGGAAAGTTGTGTATTAGAGAGGATTCAACTAGACGGCGACTGTTCGAGTTGGAAGTAGGGAAGACAGTTTTAGCAGAAGACCAGTCAATAGGATGGCTATGATCTCTGACGTGACAGAAAAGAGCATTGTTAGTGTCGGCAAGCCTAACTCAGTGCTCCCCTTCCTTTGTATTTGACTGGCTCGTCTTCCTTATTTCCCACTTCTTCCGCTACCACTACTACTACCTCTTCTTCTTCTACAACTACTGTTGAAATTAAGACACATGTGCGGCGTCTGGTTGTCTTTGTTGTGGACGTTTCGCCATCCAGTGGCTGGCTGGGTGGCGAAACGTCTACGATGGGGATGCCCAGGCGTTGTGCATGTGTCTTAATTTCATCCTGTCGGTATTATATACAATTCTTGTTGTACTACTACTACTACTACCACCTCTTCCTGTCTATATACGTATAGCCGTCCTGCTCCACCTCTGTTAGTGTGACTTTGTCAATGGTCCAAATCGGACCGAAACGTCGTCGTAAGCTTCTCTCTTTTATGTGCGGGTTATTTGTGTATTGTTCCAGTCACGGTATTGTGCCTTGTTGTTATTTAATGTGTAGTTTATTTATGAATTTTCTTTTTCCTTTACAGGTGTGTAGCTAAGTACTGGGAAATTCATGAACGTGTTGGAAAGAAACTGCAGAAAATGTCAAGTCAAGACGAAGAGGCTCTGAAAAAATTAGCAGCAGAGCAAGGGCTTGTGACGTAGTCTTCATTAACCACCAGCTTGACAGAAAACTGCAAAATTTGTATGTAAAAAGGTATGATAGTGCTGCAACAATGTAATGTAAATATGGTTTTGTATTGCTGTACCTAAGTGCTTTAAAAGTGAAGTTGAAAAAAGTTAATTGGAAAATTTCAGTTTACAAACCAGAAATGTAGTTATGACCAGGGGGTTTTAAATTTTAAAATTAGCCAAATTAAATTTTGTAAACACGCACAATTGTCTCATTTCCATTTTGTGAAAACAGGCTGTCACCTTGGAAGGGTAAGCAGTGAAGAGTAAACCCTTAAAATAATGAACTAATGGGTGGGGAAGGGGGTAGCAGGTAGCCAGAAATGGATCTTATGAAGAATAGAAGAGATTATTTTGCCATAATACACAGTATGAACACTTCTGTTCATTGTTTTCTGAATAGATTGAACCATTGGATTTTGTTCTGTTTTTTCCATATCTTGTATTGAGGGTTTGTTTTAAATGCTAACAGTGCATTTACAGTAGTGCAAGGTAAAGTATGTATGTGTTTCATTGTTCAACCTTTCCCTTTTGCAGTCTTTTTTAAACATAGGTAATTTTTAAAGCAAAAATGCATAATTGCTTGCCTGTGTATGGTTTTGGATTTATAAGAACACTCTGGTTTCTCCATCAACAAACCCATACAAGTTTGGTGCTTTTTGTGAATATAATAATCCACTGATGAGAGGTGGTTATTTGTTATAACTCTGCTTCAGTGTTTAAACCATAAATACACAGATAACCCACACACAGGGTAGAAGAGCTTACAATAACATTTTGGTCCAATTTGGACCATTTACAAAGTCAATGTGACTTTGTAAATGGTCCAAGTCAGACCGAAACGTCGTCATAAGCTCCTCTCTCCCATGTGAAGATTATTTGTGTATTGTTCCAGTCATGGTATTGTGCCTTTTTTGTTATTTTTAAACAATAAAGCTGTCTATGACTGTAACTAGATTTTATTTTTTTTTTTTCCAGTTGCATTAAATATAGAGCATGACAATCTAATGGACCAAGCACATGATCTTTCCACATTTATAGTCTATTAAATTAACAGGAATTCGTCTGAAGCAGATCTCAATCTTAGGACACGATGAAAGTGTGGCCGTTTTGAGGCAATGTAGAGTTGGTTCTGCTGGCCATGAATTTGCAAGTTTAACAAAAGATCAGAATACAAAAACCTCAAAAAATAATCCACGTGATTTTTATTGGTTCTGTATGACTAGTGCTTTTGTTAACTCTGCGCTAATAAAATTATTGATTTCTAATATTTCCTTCACTCTTCGATGGTCATAACATTCATAAATTAGTTAGCTCTGAATAGTGATTTGTTCAAGTATTTTATTAGACATTTGTACAATTTTGTTAGTGGATTTTTTTTTTTTTTCATTCTTAAAAGTTTTCAAAAATTTAGTTGTGATAAAAGTATCTGTAAGATAATTCTTGTTACTTTTAGAATAAAGGGAAAATGGAACATGTTGATATATAAGAATTGTAGTAAGAAATTATACTTTGTAAATTAACTCAGTTTTTTGCTTTACCTACTTTATAACTTTAATTTTTGTTTAATCTATTATCTTATGTAAATTTTTAGAAAATGGACTGAACCAAGCTACATATTATCCCAATATTCTCACTACTGATTAAGGTATATTTTATTAAAGTCGTAAGGGAACCAAATAAAAGCAGGTCAAGACCAAATGAGGCTGTTTATTAAGGGAAATCTCTACAGCAGATAATATACCCCAGGGTTTCTGCTATGGGTCACACCGTTTGTACAGATATACCAGGATGGGATTATTGCTGTGCTTCAGTAAAAGCTGCTACTGTCTGTTGATACAAATTTTCCTTAAGTTTTAGGTATGGTACTGTACCGAGATCCCATTCTGGATACAGCTACTCATATTAGTGTTTGAGGGTGCACTTCATCTTCAGAAACTTGTTGCATAGACTGCAAATCTAACATTTCATGACTCGGATTATTCATCCTGGACTGGATTCATCCAGCCATGGCTCTTTGTGGTGCAGTTTATCACTTCCTATCTGTTACTTTTCAACTACCAGTACTTTTTCTAGCCCCTCCATCCTCAGGTACTTTCACTTCAGTGTAGGAGCCGAGACTAGAAAACACTCCAGAACATCGGCAAGTAAAGCACTCTCTTACAGTAAGGTGATAAGATGTGCAATGGTTAGGTATCTTAATTTCCAAAACATTTTCCTTACACAGGATTTAGCACTTTTTGATTATAATAATTTGCTTACACAGTAGGCTTCAGTCGAATACAGAGGTGAGTGACTAAATATAGAGTGGTTAGTAGGGACTAAATATGAAGTGATCAGTCCATCAGCCTTGAAGAGGTAGTAGTAGCAGTAGTACTCTACTGAATAAGTTTGTTGTATAGGTGAAACATTTTGGGTAGAGATACCTAACTGTTGCACATCTTGCTCATCTACTTATTGGTATAGTATACCAATATCATGATATAGATACAGCAAGATCTTGGGCCATTTGTATATAGTATTTCATTTTTCTATTTAGTTTTTGGCCTGGTGGCAGAAGCTCTCACTTCACACTGTGAAGGTCCAGGTTTGATTCCCGGAAAAGGGGTGGAAACATTGGGCATACTTCCTTACACTGGTTGTCTGTTCTCCTATCAGTAATAATGGGTACCTGAGTGTTAGTCGACTGGTGTGGGTTGCATCCTGGGACAAAACTGACCTAATTTGCCCAAAATACTCTGCATAACAGGCAGTTTTCCATATAGTAGTATGTCATTGATGTCAGCTGGGACTGTATACCTTGTACGTATACGTGTAGAAATAAAGATATTAAAATTATTGCAGCGCTTTATACCCCTTGTGGTTTAGCACTTCTTTTTTATTATAATAATTATTATTACGTATTTAGAGGTAAAATAAGCTCCATTTATTTTCCCGTGGATTATAAATACAGTGGACCCTCAGTTAACGACATTAATCCATCCAGAGAGCTTGTCTTTAACCGAATCTGTCGTTCTCCAAATTAATTTTCCCCATAAGAAATAATGGAAATCCAATTAATCCATTCCAGATACCCAAAAGTATTAAACAAAATAATTTTTTTACGTGAAATATACATTTCCCTACACAGAAAACAGAGACATGCAGTATATATAATACTAAAATGACATTTACCTTTATTGAAGACTTATTGATGAGTGATGAGACAGGAGGAGGGGAGAGGATAGTGGTGTTTTATTGTTTATGGAAGGGGATTCCCCTTCCAAAGACGTTGGGTAACAAGTCCTTTTCTGGGGTTACCTCCCTTCTTGGTTTGTTAATGCCACTAGGACCAGCTTGAGCCACTGGACCCCTGTTGCGCAAAATATCTGTCCAGAGAGCTCTGTTTCTCGCGTCCCTTTAAGATTTCCCTAAAATAGGCCACAAGTGTGTCATTGTACAAGTTGCCAATAGGGCTTGCAACAGCTGTGTCAGGATCATATTCATCCATAAATGCTTGCAACTTTGTAAACATTGTACACATTTCCTTAATCTTTGCCTTCGTCAACTTCCTCTATTTCTCCTCTGCCTCCTCTGAAGGAAATCCCTGAGCTTTGGTCTGTTGCTGTTGCACCTGAAGCTCTTGCAGCTCTGTAGTGGTTAGCTCTTCATCATTGTCCTCCACCAATGCTTCCACATCCTCGCCACAAACCTCCCCCCCCATGGACTTCCCCAATGCCACAATAGATTCCACAACTGGCATAGGCTCCTTAGGGTCAGCCCCAAACCCTTCAAAATCCCTCTCTTGTACACATTGTGGCCACAATTTTCTCCAAGCAGAGTTCAAAGTCCTGCAAGTCACTCCCTCCCAAGCTTTATCTATAAGGGTTGTGCAACTGAGGATACTGAAGTGATCTTTCCAGAACTCTTAGGGTCAATTCAGTGTCTGAGGTCACTTCAAAGCACTTTTGAAACACTGCTTTGGTGTACAGTGTTTTAAAATTTGAAATGACCTGCTGGTCCATGGGCTGGAGGAGAGGAGTGGTATTAGAAGGCAAGAACTTCACTTGGATGAAGCTCAACTCCCCCGCAATTTGCTCTTGCAAGTCGTGAGGATGAACAGGAGCATTGTCCATTACCAGGAGGCACTTGAGGTCCAATTTATTTTCCAGGAGGTACTGTTTCACAGTGGGCCAAACACGTCATAGAACCAGTCAATTAACACGTCTCTAGTGACCCATGCCTTGCTGTTTGCTTTCCACATCACACACAAGTTAGTCTTGACGATATTGTTTTTCTTGAACACTAGGAGTAAGAGTGATAAAAGAGTAAAGGCTTCACTTTGCAATCTCCACTAGCATTACTACACAACATTAGAGTAAGCCTGTCTTTCATAGGCTTGTGTCCTAGGAGTGCCTTTTCCTCCTGAGTAATGTTGGTCCTGTTTGGCATTTGCTTCCAAAACAGGCCTGTTTCGTCACAAATGCTTGTTGGGGTTTTAATTTTTCAATGTCTATGTACTCCTTAAAGTCCTTCACATATTTTTCAGCTGCTTTTTTTTGTCAGAACTGACAGCCTCACCATGCCTTATCACACTGTGTATGCCATTACGATTCTTAAATCTCTCAAACCAGCCTTTGCTGGCCTTAAATTCAGCAGCAGCACTATTTGGGGGCATTTTCTTATTGACATCCTCATGCAACTGCCTTGCCTTTTCACATATTATTGCCTGAGAAATAACATCTGATAATTGTTTCTCATTTATCCACACCAACAAATCTCCCCATATCTTCGAGTATTTGCGATCTCTGTTTTGTAAGCACACTTGCACCTTTTGCAACAACAACTTCCTTGATTGCCTTTTTGTTGCACAAGATAGTACTGATGGTTGAATGGGGTTTGTTGTATAACTTTTCCAACTCCGGGATACACACTCCACTTTCATACTTTTCCCTTATCTCCTTTTTTAAATCAGTGGTACCCCTCACCCTTTTTACCACAGGGTTGGCACTAGAAGCTTTCTTGCGGCCCATGGTGGCTTATTTAGCAGTTACAAGCACCTCTGCAAAAGCAGTGATAATGTGAGTGTGGTGAAAGTGTTGAATGATGATGAAAGTATTTTCTTTTTGGGGATTTTCTTTCTTTTTTTGGGTCACCCTGCCTTGGTGGGAGACGACCGACTTGAGAAAAAAAAAAAAAAAAGCACTAAAAACACTGGAATACAAAATGTACTGCAGTTACACGTGGAACCATCCACAGTGGCTTGTAAACAGTGGCACACTGGCTGGTACATGGGGTGAGTGGCCAGGCCCGATCAGGGAGCCATGCTGACACGTTCAGGATGAATGGTGCTAACCGAGTTTTTAGGCATTATCTGAGCCAATTTTTTTGCCCCAAAGAGAGGTATTATCCGATGGAGGTGTTAACCGAGGGTCCACTGTACAGTGTACTGTATTTGTTTATTACTTTAAGCTATTCTTTTTCCGTTTATTTTCATAAGGGAGAAAGTGTTCTCCCTGATTATTCAGTATCAAGGCAGCCCACGACACCACATATGGGTGACCCTTCCCTTTACATCCGTCCGCCATGCCAGGATCTAGCATCATGCTGTCCTCCATCATTTGGTAGTCTGAAAGCATTACAATAGAAACCACTCAACATGCTGGCCGTCTCCCACCAAGGCAGGGCGATCCAAAAATAAACACTATCATCATTCACACACCATCTTTGCAGAGGCATGCAGATACGACTTCAGATGCCACTCCAAACAGCAAATATCCCAAACCCCTCCTTTCAAGTGCAGGCATTGTACTTTCCACTTCCAGGATTCAAGTCCGGCTAACCGGTTTCCCTGAATCCCTTCACAAAATATTTCAACACTGGTCACTAAAAAGAATCAAGAGATTTCGTCTTTCGAAGTCTCAATACCATTACTAAATTCCTCATGATTATTATTATTATTACAATCAACCCCTCAGGGAAGGTTCCTTGATGTTGGTGAGGGGCTCTTGATTTAGGGAATTGGATCTGTGCTCCAGTTCCCCGAATTAAGCCTGAATGCCTTCCACATCCCTCCCAGGCGCTGTATAATCCTACGGGTTTAGCGCTTCCCCTTGATTATAATAATAATATTACAATCAAGGGGGAAGCGCTAAACCCGGAGGATTATACAGCGCCTGGGGGGTGATGTGGAAGGCATTCAGGCTTAATTTGGGGAACTGGAGCACAGATCCAATTCCCTAAATCAAGAGCCCCTCACCAACAAATTCCTCATGAAAAATTAATTATAGTAGTTTAAAAATATGGTTATTCTGATGTATTATTTACATTTTCCATTAATAAAATACACTAGCATACGAGGAATAAAAAAATTTACAAATTTTATAACCAACATTTATTTCATTTTCAAAATACTGTACTGAATGCATGGCACTTACACTTTACAAAACATTGGCTACTTAAATGTTATTAAGTATTTTAGCATGAAAAATAATAACTTAGGATGATTTTCAATCAAAATTAAATTGGTATACTAATTAAAACCCTGATGACATTATCTAACAGTTTGTTAGAAGAGTCAACTGCTAGACACACACACAAGTGATTTTGCTATCACTTAGTGTTGCAGACTATTTGCAACAGTTAAGTGTGTGTAATATCACAATGGTGAATCTGTATACTGAAGAGTAAAGCAACTGGAACTTGCATTGCCCTGAGATGTCCATTCTATATTATTATTATTATTATAATCAAAAAGAAGCGCTAAGCCACAAGGGCTATACAGCTGTCCATTCTATAGATCGGCATTTCTCAAAATGTAGGCCGTGGTCTCTACAACCAAGTAAGCCTTAAGCGACCAATGGGTTGCCTGGCAAATTTGGGCAAGAAATACTGCTACAGATATTCCAGCCTGCGATCTAAATGACTTCCAAGATGCTCACGTTGCTTCCACGGCGTCTATTCTTCAGATGAGCCTGTAATTAAAAAAGTAATTGTATTATGATCCTCTTGTAAAATCATTTTTTTTATTATTTTAAATTGATTTGCAACAGTTCCTAATTCAAAAATGCAGTCATAAAACAAAACACAAAACAAAACAAAACAAAAAAAAAAAAGATACAGCCTCTCCTCAAGTAACGATGGAGTTCCTTTCCTAAGATCACGTCGGTAAACAAATCCGTCACTGAGCAAGGAGCATACTACAGTGGTAGTGGGTTTGATGGTTATGTATATTGCAAAACAGAATAAAGGAAAAAAACCTCTAATATACATTATTTAGGTATGCACAGTGGTCAGTCCGAGTCATCGGTAAACGAGTACATTGCTAAGTGAGAAGCTGCTGTATAAGCTTGTACCTAAAAATTATCCACAGGCTCACTTAAAGGATTAGAGCTTTTGTTGAAGAAACAGCCTGTTTCTTCAACAAAATGGATCTCTTTAAAATAACCCAACAAAGGCATTTGCTTTGGCTTTTTTTTTTAAATAGTGGCAGAATGTCAAGTGCCTTGAACTTATATTTCCACAAAGATTAAACTTAATGGCTAATGAAGAGCATTATTCTCTATTAGGGATGTGGGGTGATGATAAATAAGAAACTTGTATAAAAAAAATTAATGAGCCCAGATAACAGATGTCCTAAAGGTATCAGAAGTGCCAGAACTCAGAACAGATTATTTCATCAGCTCTGCTAAAGTACACTGTTGAACAAATGACTCATTAGAGGACACAGGTAAAATTTTTAAGTATTAATTTGACTATACTGATCTACAGAATTTTAAACTAATGGTGTATAAAACTAATAAGTAGATGAGTAAAACATACAACACATGGGTATAGTTATTGTGGAGATGTATCACCAACCGGTGGCTTTATCAATCCAATGCTGAGAATAGTGCCGAAGACAGTGGAAGACTATGTAATAGTTTGAGGTGATCAGTTCCTCAATCTCGAAAAGTGTTCAGTCCATGAATCTTTGTGAATCTAAAGTAGATGCCCGAGGATGGAGAATTATAGTATACTGATTTAAAAAGACACATGAGCAAACACTAGGATGTATTTATTAGAAAACATTTCAGTCCTGGGACTGATCACTTAAGACGTGATCAAGGTACCAGGACCAAAATGTTTTCTAATAAATGTCCTAGTGCTTGCTTGACATTTTAAAGCATTTTGTCGGCATCAGTTACCAAGGTTTCTATCGCTTACATACTGGAGACAGTAGTGGTGAAGCAGTTGAAAGGTGGATTGTTGTTGTAGATTTGCCTGTACATTTGCTGGCCCAGGTCTTTTCCAGATGGTGACCCAACCTTGGCTCCCAGTCATGGGAGTGTATGGGAGTGTCTTGAAAGGCATGCCAGCTGTGGAAGCATGATGCAAGGGTGGCTGATGAAGCTGCACAGAAGCAGGCAGTGTCAGGAAGGGCCGAGAAAGCAACCATTACAGGGTCCAATGGAGCCACACCCCAGCTTGAGGCCACAGCCTGAGCACTGGGCAACTCAGCTTCGTGGTGATTGGTGGACGGGAAGAGATGCTAGTGGGGACTAGCATTTTTTGTTTCTGAATTTCGTCCTGGAGACTTGGATGATTCAGGTCATGCTCTCAGTCGGTAATGTACTCACAGATGTCCTCAAGCATGTTTTTAGTGGTGTGATGTTGATCTGGATCGCTGGTAAACTTCACCATTCTATCTTTGACTCATTGGTACAGTTCATCACAGAACATACTGTCGCTGTGTTGGTCAGTAGTGTAGAACTTGACGCCAGGCCATGATTCATACTTCGTTTTTAGTATTCCCCTTAATCCTCCAGCAATTTCAACAACCTGTGTAGGTGTAAGGACTGAAGGTGGGTTTTTTTTGGTAGCAGTGGGAGTAGCAACAGATGGTTTGCCAGTGGTGGTGTTGGTAGCAGAGGAGGGAGATGGCATGGTGGTGAGGCATACTTCAGTTGGTGATGGAGTTTAGGCTTTTGTGCCTGTTGACTGGTCCAGTTGGGGGTGAGGTTTCTGATTGGGAGGCCACTAGTGGAAATAGGCCATAAAAGTGGCCTCACAAAATCGTAATAACACAATTGCAAAAAAAGTACAATACTCGTGGGGTTAGAACTAATGGCAAGTGAGTTCTAACCCTTCAGTGGCATAAGTCATTGGGCCAGCTGACTACAATAACATTCATCCATGTGTTCTAACTCCACCCATACTATGGTCTGCAAGTGTCTTATTCATCTACTTGTCAGCTTTATATACCTTTAATATATAAGACTTGTCTAACACAGCAACATCTTGAGTCACATTTCTTCTACAGCTCTAATGCTTGCCTGAGCTGTTGGTATGACCTATTTCCACTAGTGGGCCTCACCCCTTTTCCCCAGGCAACAGTCTCTGTCCTCATAGCATTAATTTAGATTAATCATAACTGATGAACTGACTACCATCTTTCAATGCTGAGGGACTGTTACCTCAAATGACTACTTTGTGTCTTCCACTGTCTCTAGAAATTTTTTTTCTGTATTGGAATGATAAAGCCACAGGTTGGTAAAAAGTCTCCACAAAGATGCCCAAGTGTCGCCTACGTCTTATTCATCAAGTGCAGAATTGCAATGTGAAAAGGCTTGATGGAAAAGTAATATAGTACTACAAGGACATTCAAAAGCAAAGGCTTGTGTATCAGTAGTGTCTGTACAGTACAGGAGGCCCCACTTATACAGCAGGTTAGGTTCCGGGCTACCGCTGTAAAGTAAAACAGCCCTTTTTTTTTCCCACTTAAAAATACACATACAGTATACACATTACTTACCTTAAAATATTTTCGTCCTTAACTTACAGTGAGTGATGAATATATTTACTGAAGGAAGTCAATAAATGAAGACTTGGTATAATTGAAAACCACTGTATTAGTGAAATGCCCTACAGCAAAGCATTGTTAAAATTGGGCCTGCCTGTATTGGAAAGCTGCTGTAAATTTAAAGGGTAAATTTTTTTTTTTTATCAAACAAGGAAACATACAAGAGATAGACAGTATTACAAGACACAGAATACATTGACTTACTTGCAATATATCTATGTAAGGTTCTCTTCCTAAAAGGTCGTATCCAACACCGAGAACGTGGTAGATGGGTTTGTGAAACAATTCACTGCCAAATGTAAATAGGTTAAGCCCTAGTTCAAGTCCCATTCCTGGAAAAAAATAATCAGATAATAATCAATTTAAGCTTCAAACTTATATGGGTTGGGATTTTTAATAAAAACTTAGGCACCAGTATTAAATTTGAGAAGAGTTGAATTTTTTGTATATCAATTTATCCTTGCGGATTCAGTAGCAATCATTAAAACACAATGAACCACATTTCTTAGGCTTTTGGGTTGTGATATTATTACAATCAGAACTAAGCACTAAACCGATCTGGTTGTGACAGATTCCACTGCTACCACAAATAAAACTTTACAGGACTGACAATGACAACTTGGGTGTACAGTAACTTGATCACTGACTAATTTCTAGTCATCAAAACCTGAAATTTCAAGCCATTATAATACGAAGATTAAATCAAGAGAGAATTGTTTTCAATTGTTTTAATGACTACTGGTCCAATGACAGCACTACAGCTCTTTTCACCAGTGAGGATTACAGAGATTAATTACTGCACAGTACCTCCTGCCTCGGTGGGATATGGCCAGTTCATTGGAAAAAAAAAAAACTCCTTTTTGTCATATATTGTTGTTACACTCGGGCGAGTATTAAACCCTTGGGGGTCATACATCCCTTCAATGGAGGTTCCTTGATGCTGGTGAGGGGCTCTTGATCTAGGGAACTGGATCTGTGCTCCAGTTCCCTGAATTGAGCTTGAATGCCTTCCATCCACCCCGCACAGGCATTGTATAATCCCTATGGGTTTAGCACTCCCCCATAATAATAATAATAGGGGTCATACATAGAGAAATGGGAAGCAATTAGCTTTGATCTAAGGAATGGGAGGACCAATTCCAAAGCTGTCTTTCCAATGTACAATATATGAACTTTACAGTTCAACTGACCCACTGAAATGCAACATCCCTACGCATTCTCTGCACATTAAGAACACTTACCAAAGTCTCCTTCATCATAAGCAAACTGTACGTTGGTTATCAGCTCTTGTATGTCGTCGAAGTGTTTTCTTCTCTCGTCGTCAGTTTTAGCGTTGACAACTTTCTGGAACATCTTCCGCAAATTGGCTGAAACAAGTCAAGTATTAGTCTAGCATTAGTGGTAAGTTTTGCTTATATGAAAATTTATATGCTGTTGAAACAATACAGGCATATGATACATACAGTTACTATAATATTGTAGAACTGTACTATATATCCTATACAGATCTCCCTTTACCTTATACCAGTATGCAACGCTTCATTTTTATGGGTAATGTTGCATGCACAATATATATTCAGTATGCAACTGGTGTGGTTTGCAAATGAGGAATTATGTACTGCTGCCATGATCCTCCATAAAGAAAAATACATTTATCAAGACACACTGAAATATCCAGAGCTACAAACATTAATCCTTTGTGTAATAGGATGCTGTATGACCCTTGTGGGTTTAGCACCTAGTTGTGACTGTAATAATAATATAATAGGATAGCTTTGAAATGATCAGAGATAAAAATATTACACAATATAAATTTTGAGAGAATGTCACTCAGAAGTGTACTTTCATTATTATAATCGTAACTAAGCGCTAAAAACTTAGAAGCATAAAATAACATTCTGATCAGCCATTATTAAAAAATTACAGCAAAATATCTGATAACTAATAACTTGTGAACAAATCAGGTTAAGTGGGAGTACATATGGCTGCTGCAGTGCCTGGAACTTGAAGCAAATACAGAAAAAAGGCCCCTCAAGGGAGGGTCCTTGACATTAGTGAGGAGCTCTTGATCTAGGGAAATGGATCTGTTCTCCAGTTCCCTGTATTGAGCCCAAATACCTTCCACCCCCCTACCCCCACAGGCTCTGTGTAATTCCTACGGGTTTAGTGCTCCCCCCTGATTATAATAATACAAAAAAACAGTCGATAAATTAGACACATGTGCAACTCTTGGGTATCTTTATTGAGGAAACGTTTCGCCACACAGTGGCTTCGTCAGTCCATACGTAGGAGAAACTTGAAGAACAGGAGGAGAATGAGGTAATCAGTCCCTCAACCTTGAGTCGATGTGTTCAGTCCATTAATCTTGAATAGAATACGGCATATGAGCAGAGAAGCAGCTTATAAACCGTATGGCAGGAGAGGTGCAGCAGTCATAGGTGGTGTCACATTTGTTCAATGCGGAAGTAGGTCGTGCCCAAGAATTAGGCAAGCGAAGAATTCCTAAGTATTAAGATCCCAAGAAGTTGCAGTGTCTGACAGGTTTGTAGATGAATGGTTCAGAGAACCGACATGTTGATAAATTAGACACATATGCAACTCTTGGGTATCTTTATTGAGGAAAAGTTTTGCCACACAGTGGCTTCATCAGTCCATACGTAGGAGAAACTTGAAGAACAGGAGGAGAATGAGGTAATCAGTCCCTCAACCTTGAGTCGATGTGTTCAGTCCATCAATCTTGAATAGAATACGGCATATGAGCGGAGAAGCAGCTTATAAACTGTATGGCAGCAGTCATAGGTGGTGTCACATTTGTTCAATGCGGAAGTAGGTCGTGCCCAAGAATTAGGCAAGCGAAGAATTCCTAAGTATTAAGTATGAAGCCACTGTGTGGCGAAACTTTTCCTCAATAAAAATACCCAAGAGTTGCACATGTGTCTAATTTATCAACATGTCTGTTCTCTGAACCATTCATCTACAAACCTGTCAGACACTGCAACTTCTTGGGATCTTAATACTTAGGAATTCTTCGCTTGCCTAATTCTTGGGCACGACCTACTTCCACATTGAACAAATGTGACACCACCAATGACTGCTGCACCTCTCCTGCCATACGGTTTATAAGCTGCTTCTCCGCTCATATGCCGTATTCTATTCAAGATTGATGGACTGAACACATCGACTCAAGGTTGAGGGACTGATTACCCCATTCTCCTCCTGTTCTTCAAGTTTCTCCTACGTATGGACTGATGAAGCCACTGGGTGGCAAAACGTTTCCTCAATAAAGATACCCAAGAGTTGCACATGTGTCTAATTTATCAACATGTCGGTTCTCTGAACCATTCATCTACAAAAAAAACAGTCATTTGAATGACAAGTGTATTTTTGGTTAGCAGACTGCCAGTTGGAGCTTGTGACTTTTCCTTTAGTCTGGTATTTTGGGTTGAACAGACTATTATAAAATGTCTTGTTATAAAACAGCAGCAGTTGATATTCACAGATCAAGAGAAGAATTATCAATTAACTATACAGTACTTCCCTTTCCTTTGATTATTTTAATAATCTGCAAGGCTTTTGATATGGTAGACCACAATATTCTTTGTAAACTTAATCATTACAGATTTAGAAGGCACACTTACAACTACTACTTTCAGCCCTATTAACACAACTACATATAGCCAGTACTATTGGCACCTCCTCAACTAGCAGTGAAATTAAAGGCAGCATCCTGGATTCTCTTCTTTTCCCTCTCTACATCAATGACTTACCAACTGTACCCTGTATTTAAACCTGATACTCTGCTGACGATGTTACCTATATGTTTATAATACGGTAATCCCTGGATATTAACCCGTAAACGGTCCAAACGTATACTATATACGTTTTTACCGCTAGTGCCCCAAATGTATACATATGTTTTATTTGTCTCACACTCAACGTTGCCACGATAAGCCTGAGTCACCTAGACATGAGAGAATGGGTGTGCGCACTCACTGTGCGCCATATTAAAATACAGTGGACCCCCGCATAGCGACCTTAATCCGTGCAAGAGGGCTGATTGTTATGCGAAATGTTCGGTATGCGAATGAATTTTCCCCATAAGAAATAATGGAAATCAAATTAATCCGTGCAAGACACCCAAAAGTATGAAAAAAAAAATTTTACCACATGAAATATACATTTTCCTACACACAAAGAGAAGGATACATGCACAATAGTAGAGTAGTACATGCACAATATATATTGTGCATGTACTACTCTACTAAATGAAGAATAAATGACACTTACCTTTATTGAAGATGCAGCAATGACTGATGAGACACTGTGTCCTGGGAGTGCCTTTTCCTCCTGAGTACTGTAGGTCCTTTTTGGCATTTTCTTCCAGAACGGGCCCTTTATCACACTGTGAAATGCCACTACGATTCTTAAAATCTCTCAAACCAACCTTTGCTGGCTTTAAATTCACCAATATGAGCATAGTTCCAGGCATTTTTCCCTGTTCACCTGGGTGTTAGTCGACTGGTGTGGGTTGCATCCTGGGAGACAAGATTAAGGACCCCAATGGAAATAAGTAGACAGTCTTCGATGACACTGACTTTTTTTGGGTTATCCTGGGTGGCAAATCCTCTGGGGTTAATTGTTTCTTGGTATTCTCAATAAGCCCACCAACAACGGTGCTACAGCAGCAGCAGCAGCTGACGGTGGTACAGCAGCAACAGACGATGCTACAGCAGCAACAGACGATGCTACAGCAAACAGCAGACGATGCTACAGCAGCAACAGACGATGCTACAGCAGCAGCAGACGATGCTACAGCAGCAGCAGACGATGCTACAGCAGCAGCAGACGATGCTACAGCAGCAGCAGACGATGCTACAGCAGCAGCAGACGATGCTACAGCAGCAGCAGACGATGCTACAGCAGGGAACAACGATGCTACAGCAGCAGCAGACGATGCTAACAGCAGCAGCAGACGATGCTACAGCAGCAGCAGACGATGCTACAGCAGCAGCAGATGATGCTACAGCAGCAGCAGCAGCAGCAGCTGACGGATGGTACAACAGCAGCAGCAGCAGCTGACAGTGCAGCAGCAGCTGACGGTGGTACAGCAGCAGCTGTACCACCAATAGTAGCGATGGTTGATTGGGGTTTTATTATACAACCTGGCCAGCTCGGAGACACGCACTCCACTTTCATACTTATCAATGATCTTTTTCTTCATCTCTATAGTAATTCTCACCCTTATTGCTGTAGGGTTGGCACTAGAAGCTTTCTTGGGGCCCATGGTCACTTATTTTCCAGAAAAAATCACCAAAAACACTGTAATAATACGAAATGTTCCGATTGTATGCTTGGATGTTACCACGGAGGCTGGCTGGTAAACAATGCCACCGGCGGAACAAGTGAGTGTGGCTCAGGCCGCACATTGGACGCGTCTCGGACGAAGGGCGGTGAGCGGGTTTTTGGGTGGTATGCGAGGCTAAATTTTTGCGATCAAAGCGATCGGTATGCGGATTGTACGGTATGCGATGCGTACGGTATGCGGGGGTCCACTGTAATTGGGTATGCCTGGGTACCATATGCTCTTTTTTCCTATTAACCCTTTGACTGTCGCGGCCGTATATATACGTTTGTGAGGTACCATGTTTGACGTATATATACTCATAAATTCTAGCGGCTTCAAATCAGGCAGGAGAAAGCTAGTAGGCCCACATGTGAGAGAATGGGTCTGTGTGGTCAGTGTGCACCACATAAAAAAAATCCTGGAGCACGCAGTGCATAATGAGAAAAAAAAAACTCCGACCGTTTTTTTTAATTAAAATGCCGACTTTGTGGTCTATTTTCGTATAGTATTTGTGGTTGTATTCTCGTTTTCATGGTCTCATTTGATAGAATGGAAACTATATTATAGAAATGGAGGTGATTTTGATTAATTTTACTATAAAAAGAACCTGGAAATGGAGCACAAAGTACAGGAAAGGGTTTGATTTGCCTGTTAAAAGAAAAAAGAATCACCAAAAGTAAATTGCCATCAAATTTTGCAGTCATGAATGGTTTGGGAATTTAAAAAGTTTGCAGAGTTGTAAAGAAAATTTGTTTTTTTTTGGAAAAAATTTAAAATAAAAAGGAAGAGTAATAAAAGGACAAAAATTACTGGATGAAAAGAAAATCAATTGAGGGAGAAGTTGAGGAGTTAAACCTTTTTTGAATTTTTAATTGGGAAAGGGGCCAAAATGAAATTTCCCATGTTATGTGGGAAAAAGGAAAGGGGAAATTTTGTGTAATCGAAGAAAAAATGGTTCTAAAGGAAAAAGTTTAGAGTTGTTTTAAAACGTTTTAGGGAAAAGGGTAAATTTGGCAAAAGGGGATGATAAATGGAAGTCGTCTTGGGGCAATTGTGTTTTATAAAATTTGATTTTTTTTGGTTAAATCGGGAAAAACTTTTCCAAACTAAAAAATTTTTTTCGAATTTTAAAAATGGAGAACAGAAATTGGGTATGTCTGAGTAAAGGGAAAAAATTTTTTCTCAATGGGGCAAGGGGGGAAAATTTTGTGGACCTTTTGGTTCCAAAACAGGAACCCTTAAAAAAGGTTTGAAAAAAGGGATTAAATGGTTTTACCCAAAAGGGCATTTTTTCAAAGAATTTTAAATAAGGGTTTTCGGGAACCATCCCAAATTAAAAGTCCGAAGGCAGTTACGTTCCTTGCCTCTAAATTTAAGTCAGGAAAACGGGTTTGGGCCTGCTTTACTTGGAAAATAAAAAAAAACTTTACGGGATAGTGAGGCTCAAGTTAGAGTATGTAGAAAAGGGGGAAAATTTTTTTCCCAGAAAAGTGGGCCCCTTAAAAAGGGGTTGTTTTGATGCCCCCGGGGTTTTTTTAATTTTTATAGTTGGGGTTGTAAGAGAAGTAAATGCGGGGTTTGGCAAGAGGCGGGGAGTTAAAAAGTTTAAAGAATCACACAAAAAGGGGGAGTTTTTTTCACAGCTGCCCCTTTGCTGTGCACTGTGCTTTTGGGGAGATTCTGAAGAGAAGCTGCAGAGATTGGTGGAGGGAATTTTGGGTTTTTAGGGTGTGAAAAAGAAAAAAATTAAAGGTAAAAAACAGGAAAGAGAAAGGTTTAAATTTGGGGGTTTAAAAAAAAAGATTAGGTGATGAAAGATTGAATATCAGATTGGAGGGAGAGAGTATGGAGGAGGTGAACGTATTCGGGGATTTTGGGGGAAGGGGAAAGTGTCAGCGGAGGGGTATATGAAGTTGAGGTGATCTTTAAAAATTGATGGGGAAAAAGAGGTGGGGTGGTGCACTTAGGAGTTGGGGGAGAAAAAAGAATTTTGGGCCCTTGGAGGCAAAGGGGGGGAATGTATGAGAGTATGTTTTCCAACGTTTTTTTTTTTTGGGTTGTAAAGGGTTGGGGGATAAATTTTTTGCAGCGAGGGGAGAAGGCGGAGGCGTGGAGTTTGTCATGTTTTGGGGCAATGTGGGGGTGTGAATTTAATGCAAAAGAATTCTTTAAAGTTTGGAAGTTAGGAGGGGGTTTGCGGGTTTACCAAAACGTTGTCCAAAGGGTCTGGGGAAAGGGGTTTGTTGAGGTGGTTCGGACATTTTAAAGAAATGGGGGAAAACAAAAATAACTTCAAGAGGTATAGTCGGGTAGGGGAAAGGGGAGGCGGGGGGTTGGGGTGGGCCCTGGGAAGGGTTGGGGGGGGGGTAAAAGGGGTTTTGTGTGCGAGGGGTTTTGGGACTTCCAGCAGGCTTTCGTGAGGTGTTTGATAGGAGTGAAGGGAGCAAATTTTTTTTAATATTTAAAGTGTTTTTGGAGTGTGAGAAAGTAACATTTTTTGAAGGGTTTTCAAAAAACCCGGCGGGGGCCGGACTTGAGCCGGGAGAGGGGAAATTTACGGGTGCCTCCCACTCTGAAGGGGGGGGTTTAATGTTCCCATTTTAAAAAAACGGGTAGTGTAAAGCACCCTTCTGGAAAGGGACAGTGATGGAGGGGGAATGAGGGTTTTTGAAAGTTTTTTTTTTTGGGCCACCCTGCCTTGGGGGGAAATGGGCCCAGTGTGATAATAATAATAAAAATTAAAAAAAACTTAGGAGAAATTTTCCCCTCCCAGGAGTCTCGGGAATTTTTCTATACCCCAAATAAAAATGTAGAGGAAAAAAAGACCCCTGCTCCAGGGAAAGTTTTAGGGACAACTTGCTTATTTCTCTTTTCATACCCTGTGTTACTGCCTCCAGAAAATTAATTTTTCTTCTTAGCAAAAAAATTTTTTTTCCCTTGTTTTGGGCCTTTTGCAGTGGAACTTTTTTAAAGGATTTTTTTTCTTCATTCCCTTTTTGTTAAATCCCAAAATGTATGGACCCAAATTTAATTTTTTTAAAGGGGAAATGTTATGAAAACAACAAGATGTTTAAATTTAAACTTAAAAAGAAATTTTTGGATACTGTTTTACCTTTTTTATTATCAAAAGGGCTAATAAAAAAGTTCATTTCCCGGTTGGCCCCAAAAAAAAAAATTTCCTAATACGTTTTTTCTTTATAATTCAAAAAGACTGATAAAAAAAACTTTACACCAGGTTTTGGGCCCCAAAAAAGCAAATCATTTCCTTTACAATCTGTAAATGTTGTAGGGTTTACTTTTACTATTTTAACCTGACTCAGGTTCTATTAGGGTTGAACACCAGGTGGAAGACTTATTACACAGAAATAAGGATTACTTACCAAACCCCAGCAAAGATGTTTTCTCCAAGGGGTTTAATATTTCCTGGCTTTATTGAGGACATCGAAGCTACAAAACCCGGTAGAGAAAAGGGATCGTCACGATAATAGCCAATGTGGTACTCATTTTCATCCCCTGCTATCACAGTCTGCAAAGTTTAAACATTTTATCATGTTAGATGCTGGTTATGCATTTACATCTGTATAAAAAAATAACAAATTTAAAGTGATGATAAATCAGCATCTGGGGTGAAGGACTAAAGGAGAAGAGTTTAATTGATGACCTGTGCTAATGTTGATGCACACACATGCAAGCTAATTGTCAATGGAAAGCGCTCATCCACAGGAATTAGTGGTCTCGGTTAAATAAGCAGCCCTGGATTACACGAGATTACCAATTACTGATATGATAGTCATTCGATGCCTGAGCCCAGAGAACACTGCAGAAAAGTTAAGCTCTCTAGCAACAGATGACTGTGCTGCTGCTCCTTGAAGGCTGTACAGGAGGGCCCCGCTTACAGAGCTTCACTTTATGGCATTTTGCTAATACAGAAGTTTCCAATTATACCCATTCTTCATTTATCCAGACTTCCTACAATAAATATATTCACCACTCACTATAAACTAAGTATGAAAATATTTTAAAAGTAAGTAATGTGTTTACTTTATATAAATTTTTTTAGGCCTAGCCTTATTGCTCACTTAACCCTTTGACTGTCACAGGCCCCTTTCTGAAACTGTCATTCTATGTCGATAAATTTTTGGGAAAAAAAAAAAAAAACTTTTTTCTTATGAAATGATAATCTTTTCCCGATGGTAATGACACCAAAAGTACGAAATTTGGTCGAAAACTCACGGAATTAAGCTCCCGCGAAGTTAGCAGTCTCAGTGACATATACGCATCGGCGATTTCGCCGACTTTGAGCCCTGTTTTTTGCCAATTCCGTTGTTCCAGTTGACCAAACTCATAGCTATTTCTTTAGAACTCCATTTTTTATATCTGTTGAGTACAAGAAACCGCCCATTTACCGATTTGAACTACTCAATAAAGTGGTCAGAAATTGGCAATTTGGCCAATTTCACGTAAATTAAAAAAGATGCCAATTTCAAAATAGGGTCCAGAATAAACAATGTAGACATTCTTGACACTAAAATAACATATCCTCTGTTCATTAGTCACGTCTCTAGGCCCCTCTTATACTATTGCTATTGCTTTCTATTTTGATTTTTTATTCATACAAAAAAATACAAAATTTACTGTTATGCAGACTACTGCATTATTGTAAAAATGGTATAAATAATATCAGTACACTAGTGAAAGAATATTAAACTCCCCAGTTAAAGTGTATTGGACGTGTGGTGTGATTTGCTTACTCCTGAACATTGGTAAAAATCGAAGATTTCCGCTTTGAGCTCAATTTCAAGGTTGTTTTACCGTTAAAGTAATAAAAATCATCTCTATTTCTGTAATATGTTTTCCATTTTATCACCTGAGACCATGAAAACGAGAATACAACGATAAATACTATACAAAAATACACCTCAAAGTCGGCGTTTTAATCCCCCCCAAATTTTTTTTTCTCATTACGCACTGCATGCTGCAGGATTTTTTAATGTGGTGCACACTGACCACACAGACCCATTCTCTCACGTGTGGGCTTACCAGCTTTCTCCCGCTTGATTTGAAATCGCTAGAATTTATGGATAAATACGTCAGAAACAGTGGTGCGCAAGACGTATATATACAACCGAAACAGTCAAAGGGTTAATATATGATAGTGTAAACATGCTATCAGGCTATTATGCGCATTTGAAAGTGAAAAACGCTATTTCACTTTACAGTCACAGAGGGCGCTTTTGCTGGTGCAAACACGCTCCCTCTGACTGTATTTGTTTGGACTTCCTCCTCTTTTCTGCAACACTGCAAGCTCCTGATGTGTTGATTGCAACATGAAAGGGCTAGAGCTGTCATTCAACTCCCCTCGTGGTTGTTTTGCATTGTGCACTACAACATGCATACTGGTTGGCATTTGTATATCTTTGATACCTTGTCCCTCTGGAAACTCGAGAACAATTCTAAAATAAATTTAGTGATGTGTTATGCGGTAAGAATGCTTACCTAAAATTTTTTTACACACGTCAGTAGAAAGAGGTTAACACAAAACGTTGATATAAAGGATACAAACCATGAATTCTGGTGGGTCATAGAAGTACCGCCAGTGACACACATAGCTGGATATTTTTCTTGACTTTAAGCTCTTCAACTTTCCTGTGAGGACATCGTATGGACCCACCAATGTCAGACCAGCTTTAGCTAAGGCCTCTGCAAAGACAAAATACATAACTTTTTTTTTTAAACATTGGCCATCTCCCACCAAGGGAGACAGCTGATGTGGGTCACCCTCCTGCTTTTATAAAGTTTTTCTTTTTACATTTAGTAATCCCCTAAAGGAAGGTTCCTTGATGTTGGTGAGGGGCTCTTGATTTAGGGAATTGGATCTGTGCTCCAGTTCCCCAAATTAAGCCTGAATGCCTTCCACATCCCCCCCCCAGGCGCTGTATAATCCTCCAGGTTTAGCGCTTCCCCCTTGATTTTAATAATAATAATGCACTTAGTAATTTATACAAAAGAAGGGATTACTAGCCCTTGCTCCTGGCATTTTAGTTGCCGTTTAGGACATGCATGGCTTATGGAGGAATGAGTCTTCTTCACTTCCCCATGGAGATATCTGATATACCCCTACCAATTTAGACTGAATAACCATTCTGGTCTAGTACTTTTACAGATATAATTGCTGTATACTGTAGTGGCTGTGCTCTTTAGTAGAGGTGGAGATTGCTGCAGCTGAAGAGCAATCTGAATTATGATGGCAGCACACTTTGGCAAGACAGCAGTTGCATGAATAGTGAATGTTTCCTTCATTGTGTCACGCTTCCTTGGCGGGAGATGGCCATTGAGGAAAAAATAATAATACCAGTTTAAACCCAGTAAATGATGGTATTCTTGGTCACAATTCATTTTAACTGGAACAATGATTACTGTGTAATAATCATAGTGAACTGCTCAACCCAGAGGGGTAGTACAGCACCTGAAGAAATGGAAAGTAGTCAGGTTTGATAAAAGGGGAGAATAGTTCCAATTCCTTGGATCAAAAGCCATTCACCAGTTCAGCACTCTCTTTCTCCCCTTTAAGGGAAAAAATGTCACTTTAACTGACACAATTTATCTATCAATTCTATTTCTATTTTGCCTAATGGAATAAAACAAAGAATACTGCACGTATAAGTTCCATCGAACACCTTAACTACTGGGAATGCCTGGAAGCACTTGACTTGTACTCACTGGAGCACAGGTGAGGGATATATATCATAATCTACACCTGGAAGATTCTGGAGGGACTGGTCCCTAACCTGCACACAGAAATCACTCCCTAAGAGAGCAAATGACTTGGCAGGCAATGTAACATCCCCCCCCCCCCCAAAAAAAAAAAAAAAAATCTATGCACAGTGGAGTATGAAAGGGAATGTGTTGAAAGTACAGAGACAAGCCTGTGTGAATGAGGTTATTAGATCTACTTGGCAATGTCCTGTATGTTATGTGCATCATTAAACTCATTTCCACTTTGTTACAAACATAGCCGGTTGGTCCCTGGGTTATAGTGCTTCTCGTAACAAACGAACAGACTTAGCACGTCTAGGGGTCATGACTCAGAGGAAAAGGAATTTTCTTAGTTTCTATTTAATTTATTAATAACCATAATAACCACTTAAACCCAATTTCTCATATCTTACACTATAAGTAGAACATTTGTCACACGCCTCATTAACACATCACAGCACTAGATTAAGTATTTAGAAAGGGCTCTGAGTGAGTCAGGAAATATAAGTACATGTATATGTACATGCACAGGCATTGTTTAAAAACTCAAACACACTGATAGAGCTCGTACAGAGGGTTCATTCTGCAATAAGCCCTCTTATAACACCAAGACTTGCTCACTTGGTCTCTCTTTCTTTAAGAGTTTCTCAACCGCCTTCTCCAACCAAGATAAGCCCTTGCAATGAGTTTCCGAAATTCCTGGTAGCTTCTAGGAAGGCGAATGGTGGTTTAAAGCTGAATACTTACGTAGACCCTTCCTGGTCCAGAGAAAGGTATGAACTGAACAAGGTAAGGCTTTACCAACCAACCTTGACTCGGTCGGAGCAGGGGCTGAGCAGCTCAAAACACCTACTGGTGCTTAGCCAGTTCGCACCAACGGTTTAGACTAATTAATAACCTATGTACAAAGCTAAATAATATACAACCAGATAATATTGTAAAGTCAAGTAAATCCATTTTAGCTACTAATGGAATTACTCCTGAATATAATATTAAGTGAAAAAGCAGAAATAACGTAAAAATATACCACTGCCATAATAACAAGTAGAAATTGTCTACTTAAAATGAACAAAAGGGTGTAACACTTTCATGAAGGGGAAAAAAGGCATTGGCACAGAAAGTATAGAGAATTTTTGTAGAGGGAAAAAAACAATTACAGCATTGTCACCAATTACTTTGTCCATTTGTGATGAATGGTTTGAAAAACCGACAAGTTGAAGATTGAGACACTTATGCAGCATATGGGAATCTTTATTCAGGAAACGTTTCGCCACACAGTGGCTTCATCAGTCCAATACAAAGAGGAAGGCGTAAGGAGAGGAGGAGTATGAGGTAATCAGTTCCTCAGCCTGGAGTCGATGTGTTCAGTCCATCAATCTTGTAGAATGTACATTCTTGTACAATCTTGTAGAATGTACATTCTACAAGATTGATGGACTGAACACATCGACTCCAGGCTGAGGGACTGATTACCTCATACTCCTCCTCTCCTTACGCCTTCCTCTTTGTATTGGACTGATGAAGCCACTGTGTGGCGAAACGTTTCCTGAATAAAGATTCCCATATGCTGCATAAGTGTCTCAATCTTCTACTTTGTCCATGTGTAATTAATTACAGTACTGTATTTTGCAATACTTTTTTTAAACCCCTAAGCTAAAGTGACTCCCCTCCCCCCCCTTCAAAAAATAAAGAAAATAAATTCGCTATCATTCACCCAATCTCTGTCTTGCCAGCAGTGTGCTAACATCACAGTTCAGCAATAATAACTATCAAATACTATTTACATTAAATGCTAAACTATATGCATCATGAAGCACTGAATATTACAATGCTCTTAGTGTAATAGGAAACAGCATTTTCTTAATCTAGCACCCTCAATGACTGAAGAACTTACTGGTTGATAACTTAAAAATGACATGGTGATACCGACAAGATGTGGAAAAAGATACTTATGTATTAGAACTGAAGAAGCCACTCATAGCACAACGTTTCCCTTAATAAATATCCTGCACTGTGTTTCCACAACTAATAGCTTATTTCATAAGGAAATGCTATACAGACTTAGTTAATAAATACCTCTTCAGGACAGTGATAATTAATGACATACAATGCAGTAAATTACCTTCAGGTTTTTCCTTATTGATTTGTGAACAAAAATCCCAGAAATCAAAGAAATCATCAGGCATTTCCAAGAGGAACTTTTGTTCTACGTTGTACCTAATATCCTCTGGAGAGTCGCCCACATTAAAATCTTTCACGGAATCTTCAAACTGTGGTATGGGCAAGTCACTGTCTGCCTTGTTATCGTCTGAAAAATAAATAGTGTACCTCAAAAAATTATTAATCACAGGGAAAATTATTGAACAGAGATGCATCTTTCACATCTACAAAGGGTATAAGAAGTTTGTAAAAGGCATAAGAAATTTGTGAGAAAGAATACATATTATTTTTTTTCGTAAGTGAATTATTGGTAAGAGCAGGAACTAATTACATATATATCCTTATGATAATTTTGAAGTCAAGAAATAGATCTGGACTTTCTTATAGCTCTACACTCCAGTACAACACACATACTCACATACTAATTAATACCTACCCCATCCCCCACACAGACATTATTATGATAATCAGAAGAAAGCATCAAACCTGTAGAGATCATACAGCACATGAGGAATGTGAGGAAATTAGGCTCGATCCAAGGAGGATAAATGCACTTACTTGGATCAAAGCCCTTTGCCAGCATCAAGGTACTCCCTTGAAGGGAAACAGCACAAAAATTTGGGAACAGGCAAAGATCAGAAAAAGGGTACAGGCTCAGGGATAAAAGCTGCAAATATTACCTAAGGAGGATCTCAGAGTGAATATAGTATTGAGCATCACCTGAGGCATCAATCAACTGACTAACTCTACTAAACATACCTATTTAGCAAATCAAAGATTAGCTTTTATGAATCTCAACAGTCATTCATGCCATGATATAGCAAATGTCAGGTCTATCCTGAAGCATGCAGCACCAGCACAGAATACACACAAATCGAGCATGTCAAGAAACTGGAAAAAAGGGAAGAAATTTGCAACAAGCCTAGTCCCAAAGTTAAGAGGAATGAGCTAATGAACTGAGACTAAAGAAGCTAAACCTGATGACAAGGGACAAGACCAAGATAGACATGATAATGAAATGCAAAATATTCAGAGGAATTGATAGGGTGGACAGGGAAGGGCTGCTTGAGAAACGTAAAACAGGTACACGAGGACACAGTCAGATGTTAAAAAACAAGATGAATCACATGGATATCTGAAGTGTTTATTCAGGTTCAAAGTGGTGAAGAAGTGGAATGACCTGGACAATGAAGTGGTAGAATCAGGATCTAAATATAACTTTCACAATAGGCATGGCAGAACTCACAAAGCCAGGAGACAGGAAACCCACTAACAGCCAGTAAATTGTAAACTGAGGAAAAATTGAAGATAAGAGAATACTAGAGAATTTTTCTTCACAGTAGCTGACAAATGGACTGAAATAAAAGATGCAATAGTAAGTTCTCCAACAACTGAAAATATTTATAAGTTATATGAACAAATTAAAGATAAGATTTGTTAGGATTTTTAACCTGGAAGGTTAGCTACCGAGGATAACCTGAGAGAGTAAGTGTATCATCGAGGACTGTCTTATTTCCATCAGAACCATAAGCATAGCTCTTTGATCCTGTGGGTACAAAAAGGTAATTACACCATATTTTCCCCCCAGATACATATACACACCTAAACTCTCACTCTGCAGGAGCTGAAACCCGACCCATGCAACCACATATAAGCAGATACAATGCTGGCAATCCAAATGCTTTTCAGTACTAAGCACTTAAAGAATAATAACCTTGACTAGTCTTCTGGTCAGAAATAACAGTGTCTGTAGCTGTCACTGTACTGGAACAGTCTTCACTGGCTGGAACCACAAACTCATCTGAGCTGGAACTGTGAGAGGTATTGGGAAGGTCGTCTTTACTGTCGTCTGTTTTTTGCTTCTTACTGGGGCCCCACATATCCTGAAATATAATACATTAATGTTGCAGTACTGTATAGCCCTTGTGGCTTAGCGCTTCTTTATTATTATAATAATAATAATAATGTAATGTAGAAATGACACTTATAATCACTCTATAACTGAATAATAATAATAATAATAATAACAAATAACATATAATAAAAATATTAATAGATAATTTATATATGACAAATAATAAATAAATAATTAATTATTAATATATAATATATAAAAATAATCAGAAAAAATAATACATTCTTACAATAGCATGGAATTATACAATGGTTTTTAAGGTTGCATAAATGTTGCAGACATGCAACAATGAAACATTATATAGATTTAACCTTTGATAAAGTCTGTGACATTCTATTGAGGTAATTACATCACTGATGACAAATATCAACATTTTAAATATACATCAGTATGGTGGCTAAGGCTATCCAGCTCCTGAGTAAAGACAATCAGATTTCATTGAAAGGAGAGGGGGTGCCTTGAATTCCTTGGATCAAGAGCCCCTCACCAGCACCCCCTTGCAATTCAAACTCCCGCTCAACATGCACACAAAGACTTGCAACACCTTATTTTTGCCATCCTCATCCTCTTTCTTCCTCTTGGGCGAGTGCTTGAATGCCTTCAGGTGATCAGGGTTCTTCCGATAGCACTTCTCGCCGTATTTGCAAGCAACACGAGGGTCTTTCTGGTACAATTTCCATTCATCAGCGTCCTCCATTTTCCGTACATCCACCCTCCTCGAGAGTCACCAAAACACTGGAATGTTTACCTACTGACTCGTCCTCCACAACTCTCGTACATCCTGATACTAAAACTAACGTACCTTTGAAACTCTCATCTATCCCCCTAAGGATTCAAATTCAAATGTTTATTTCCTTATAAATCTTACATTGTGTAGTTTACATGTTATAAGATTTTGATTACAAAGATGGCCACTATCGTGCTTAGGCACTTCAGGCAGACTAATACTAATTCTTACGCTATATTGATACAGGTTATATTTGAGCAGTACATTTGGACACGTTATTAGATACGTAATTAGATACATTAAGGATTTGATTTCTTTGCATAGTTTACAATGTGTAATTATAATTTTGATTTGCTAAGTACAAAGAAAGTCGCTATCATGCCGGGGCATTTCGGGCAGACTAAATCTAATGCTTAACAGACTACTTAATACTGGGCATATATATATATCATAGTTTACCTGGAGTTTACCTGGAGAGAGTTCCGGGGGTCAACGCCCCCGCGGCCCGGTCTGAGACCAGGCCTCCTGGTGGATCAGAGCCTGATCAACCAGGCTGTTGCTGCTGGCTGCACGCAAACCAACGTACGAGCCACAGCCCGGCCTGGTTGGAATTGAATATTATTTTTTTATATTTCATCAGAGGTAGTTAGTGGCTCAGCAGTAATTTAATTAACAAGCAATTGATTAGCAAGTTACAGTATTATATTCTGACTCATTTTACATACTGAGATCTTTATTTGTACAAGTACAGGTACAAGGTATACAGACCAGAGCTCAGGTCAGTGACTTAGTATGTGGAAATTAGGTTAATTTTGTCCCCAGGATGCGACCCACACAAGTCGACTAGCACCCAGGTACGTATTTCACTGCTAGGTGAACATGGACAGCAAGTGTCTTAAGGAAACACGTCCTAATGTTTTCAGCCATACCGGGGATCGAACCACGAACTTCAATGTGTTATCAGAGTGGGCTACCAATCGAGGTACGGGACACCTTACTTAATGACTTCCCTAATACACCAATATTCACCTAATATCACTACCTTTTCAGTTAATACATTAGTGCTATTGAGTTTATTTCATTAAGCGCTAAACCCATACAAAAGAGCAATAGTCCCAATACTATGGCTCGAAAAGTTACCCAAGTGTTGGGTAAGAATTGGAATAATCTAAGCACAGTTATGTAATAAGACACATGTACTCTGTCTGGATATTTTATTGAGGAAATTTTTCGCCACGAGCGGCGTCTTCAGGACTGAAAAAAAAACCAGTGGTGGGGAAATATTTTCTCAATAAAATAACCTAAGACTGCACATGTGTGTCTTAGTTCACGCCCCTAAGTGTTGCACGTGTATTATATTAATCAATTTAAGTGGTATTATAAGTCATTAATATATCAGACTGACTGATATAAATAACGCACACAATTCTAATTATGGCATGTTGTGTTTTGTTTAAGTACTGTTGGTACAGTCTGCCAGGTTTAGACCTAGTTGCAAGTACTTCTGACAGTCTGACAGACACACAGACTGATGTAGCCAAGCATAGACTTAGCTGCAAGTACTTCTGACAGTCTGACAGACACACAGACTGATGTAGCCAAGCATAGACTTAGCTGCTAAGTACTTCTGACAGTCTGACAGACATATAGACTGATGTAGTCAAGCATAGACTTAGCTGCAAGTACTTCTGACAGTCTGACAGACACAAAGACTGATGTAGTCAAGCATAGACTTAGCTGCAAGTACTTCTGACAGTCTGACAGACACAAGACTGATGTAGTCAAGCATAGACTTAGCTGCAAGCACTTCTGTCAGTCTGAGACACATAGACTGATGTAGTCAAGCATAGACTTAGCTGCAAGTACTTCTGACAGTCTGACAGACACACAGACTGATGTTGTAGTAACCAGACACAGACTAAATTATTATTATTATAATCAAGGGGGAAGCGCTAAACTCGTAGGATTATACAGCGCCTGGGGGGGGGGATGTGGAAGGCATTCAGGCTTAATTCGGGGAACTGGAGCACAGGCTCAATTCCCTAAATCAAAAGCCCCTCACCAACATCAAGGAACCTTCCCTGAGGGGACACAAACTAAAGTATGTGATCAGCCTAGACATTATTATTATTGCTGTTATTATCATTCTTCTCCTGGGGAAGCTCTGAACCCGTATGGGTCATACAGCGCATGAGAAATGGGAGATAAAGTTTAATCCTAGGATGGGAAGGGATAGCATTAATTCCTTGAATCAAGAGCCCTTCACCTGCATCCAGGCAACTAACTGAGGGTTATTTAATGGAATCAGAAAAAAAACGGACATAAATATTTTTTAATATTACTGATTAAAAGAACGATGGAGCTTTTAATGAGACGAACGAAAATTTTTAACAAATTTATTTATTCATTAGGCTCGTGATACGATTTTGTGACGTCAATATCAACAGTGGTCATATGTAAGGTGGAGAATAACAATCTTAACATACCCATAATTTTTAAAGGAGTGGAGAGGTAAGCCAGTGGAAGGCCTCGGTCAGATGACCAAAAGCTCCAGCTGTGGGTTATCATATGACTAAAACCAGCGTCAAGAACCACTTTTTCTGTTTCCTGACAAAGCTCCCTATCCTAATTAGCTTCTTAATGCATTCTCAAGCAGGCCAGGAATCATGGTGCGTCTTGGTAAGCTTCTTAATATAACCTGAGGTATATCAGTTGCCTAAAATCCCATCTTAATGAGTTTATTACATCGTCAAGTAAGATTGGCTATTATAATGGTGCTTTGGTGAGGTTAATATAGTCTGAGGTTCGTCAGGTCGTTTGATGCTTCAAAACTGCGCCTCAGAAATGGAGGAAAATAGTTCAATGGCGCATTTATATTCGCTGGTGTGATGGTTATCAGGACTGTGGTCACTAGTGTGTGTGTGTGTGTGTGTGGTGTGTGTGTGTGTGTGTGTGTGTGTGTGTGTGTGTGTGTGTGTGTGTGTGTGTGTGTATTATATATATATATATATATATATATATATATATATATTATAGTATATATATATTATATTATATATTATATATATATATATATGTGTGTGTGTGAGTGTGTGTGTACTCACCTAGTTGTACTCACTAGTTGAGGTTGCAGGGGTCGATTCCAAGCTCCTGGCCCCGCCTCTTCACTGGTCGCTACTAGGCCCGTGTGTGTGTGTGTGTGTGTGGTGTGTGTGTGTGTGTGTGTGTGTGTGTGTGTAGTGTGTGTGTGTGTGTGTGTGTATGTGTGTGTGTATGTGTGTGTGTGTTATGTGTGTGTGTGTGTGTGTGTGTGTGTGGTGTGTGTGTATGTGTGTGTGTGTGTGTGTGTGTGTGTGTGTGTGTGTGTGTGTGTGTGTGTGTGTGTATGTGTGTGTGTGTGTGTGTGTGTGTGTGTGTGTGTGTGTGTGTGTGTACTCACCTAGTTGTACTCACCTAGTTGAGGTTGCGGGGGTCGAGTCCGAGCTCCTGGCCCCGCCTCTTCACTGATCGCTACTAGGTCACTCTCCCTGAGCCGTGAGCTTTATCATACCTCTGCTTAAAGCTATGTATGGATCCTGCCTCCACTACATCGCTTCCCAAACTATTCCACTTACTGACTACTCTGTGGCTGAAGAAATACTTCCTAACATGTGTGTGTGTGTGTGTGTTGTGGTGTGTGTATGTGTGTGTTGTGTGTGTGTATGTGTGTGTGTGTGTGTATATATGTGTGTGTGTGTGTGTGTAAGTGTGTGTGTGTGTGTGTGTGTGTGTATATATATGTGTGTGTGTGCGTGTAGTGTTGTTGTGTGTGAGTGTGTGTGTGTGTGTGTGTGTGTGTGTGGTGTTGTGTGTGTGTGTGTGTGTGTGTGTATGTGTGTGTGTGTATGTGTATATATATATATGTGTGTGTGTGTGTGTGTGTGTGTGTGTGTGCGTGTGTGTGTGTGTATTCACCCAGTTATGGTTGCAGGGGTCGATTCACAGCTCCTGGCCCCTCCTCTTCACTGGTCGCTACTAGATCACTCTTCCTGCTCAATGAGCTTCATCATACCTCTTCTTAAAGCTATGTATGGATCCTACCTCCACTACATCACTTCCCAGACTGTTCCACTTCCTGACTGCTCTGTGACTGAGGAAATACTTCCTAACATCCCTGTGGTTCATCTGAGTCTTCAATTTCCAACTGTGACCTCTTGTTGCTGTGTCCCATCCCTGGAACATCCTGTCTTTGTCCACCTTGTCAATTCCCCTCAGTATTTTATATGTCGTTATCATATCATCCCTGTCTCTCTTGTCCTCCAGTATTGTCAGTTCGATTTCCCTTAACCTCTACTCGTAGGACATACCCCTTAGCTCCAAGACTAGTGTTGTTGCAAACCTGTGCACTTTCTCTAGTTTCCTTACGCGCTTGTCTACGCGTGGGTACCAAACTGGTGCTGCATACTCCGATATAGGCCTAAGGTACACGTTGTACAGGGTCCTGAACGATTCCTTAATGAGATGTCGGAATGCAGTTCTTAGGTTTGCCAGGCGCCCGTATGCTGCAGCAGTTATTTGGTTGATGTGTGCCTCAAGAGATGTGTCCGGTATTATATTCATCCCAAAATTTATTTCCAAGAGTGAGGTTTGTAGTATCTGGCCCCCCTAGACTGTACTCCATCTGCAATCTTCTTTGTCCTTCCCCAATCTTCATGACTTTGCATTTGGCGGGGTTAAATTCGAGGCGGCAGTTGCTAGACCACACGTCCAGCCTGTCCAGGTCTTTGTAGTCCTGCCTGATCCTCATCAGATTTAATTTTCCTCATTAACTTCACATCATCTTCACATACACAAATAACCCGCACATAAAAGAGAGAAGCTTACGACGACGTTTCGGTCCGACTTGGACCATTGACAATGGTCAATGGTCCAAGTCGGACCGAAACGTCGTCGTAAGCTTCTCTCTTTTATGTGCGGGTTATTTTTGTATCGTTCCAGTCACGGTAATTGTGCCCCTTTTTGTTTTTTTATCATCTTCACA